AAGACCCCCCCCCAAGGGGCCACAATCCTTCAAACACCAATGGCAAATCATTGATGTTTGCCTTCTCGCCTTTTCGATTCCGATGCGAATGTTGGGCCTAAAGACGGCCCCAAGCTGGCCCACGAGAGCCCCAAGAGGCCCCCAAGAACGGCCCCAAGCGAGCCCAAGATCGCCCCAAGAGCGCCCCGAGGGGCGATTTCGAGATCCCCAGAAGGGGGAACCAAACGTTAAGACCCCTCTCTTTTCACCGACGCCCTCCAAAGTGGCCCCAACAGGTCCTCAGGGCTACCAGCAAGCCCCCAAGAGAGTCCCAAGAGGGCCCCAAGACCCCGAAAAGAGCCCCAAGAGGACCCCGAGATCTCCCAAAAGAGTCCCAGAGGGCTCCAAGAGGCGATTTTGACAGCGCTGTCCTGGTCCTCGCAAAAGTTTCAGGGATAGAAGGCGGGCCGCTTTCAACATGTGTTGCTCTCGCCTTAGCGCCGCACGCGCTCGTCTAACAACTTGCAGCAAGGGCCTCGCGGATGGAGGACGGACCGTTTTCAAATTAGGGCTCTCGCCTTAGCGCCGCGCACATTCGTCTTAAATATTTGCCAGAGTTTTCGCGGATGGAGGGCGGGCCGTTTTCAACATATGGCTCACGCCTTTGCGCTGCGAGCGTTCGTCTGGTATTTTTTGCAAGAGTTTCACGAGGGGGGGGGGGCGGACCATTTTCGAAACGTGGCTCTCGTCTTAGCGCCGCGACGCTCGCCTGAAACATTTGGAGGAGCTTCACGGATGGAGGGCGGGTCGTTTTCAGAATGTGGCTCTCGCCTTAGCGACGCACACACTAACCTTAAATATTTGCAAGCGTTTCACGCTCGGATGGCGGGTCGTTTTCAACATGTTGCTCTTGTCTCAGCGCCGCGCACACTCGTCCTAAACAATTGGGGAAGTTTCACGGATGGAAAGCAGTTCCTTTTCAAACTGTGGCTCTCGCCTCAGCGCCGCGCACATTTGTTTTATGAGTTTACAGCAGTTTCAAGCATTATCCTGATTAGCTTACCAAGGGTGGCAATAAGACACGATGTCGGAGTGGCAGGGCGCAGCACTTACGGTGATTCGCAGTGTTGAAGTCCCAGGAATGGTGTTCTGGTGCGGATCAGGATCGTCAAAACACAACAGTAACAGTGACTCGCAGCATTTCCAGCAGTTGTCTTCCGATGGGGCACTTTCTCGAATGACAATGAATGCTGCTTCTAGGGGCCTGTGAAGAGGGAGCTTGGGGGAGGGTTTACTACAATATCGTTGATGGGTCTTGGGTTTACACTGGTCCTCCTCCTCCTCATCCTCCTCCTTGTCCTCGTCCTCGTCTTTGCCCTCATCGTGATTTGCCTTTTCCTCCTTTTCCTCGTCGTCGTGGTCGTCGTCGTCGTCTTCCTCCTCCTTCTCCTTTTCCTTCTCCTTCTCCTCCTCCTCCTTGCCTGCCCCCAGGCGGCCCCCAGGATGACCCGAATGGGGCCCTTCAAGGCCACCCCCTTGCTCCAGAGACCTCTCTGCTCACCCTGGTTGCCCGCTTCACGGTATGTCTCTTAGTTCCAGCTCTAGTGGGGGATGGGCTGGTGGGTATACTCTTTGGTCTGCTGGCTCGCGAAGCAGGTCGAAAGCCGTCCGAACACTAGTCGGGCCGCGACTAGGCAGCAAGAAAAGAGAGGCAAGCGAAGCGAGCGCGCGGGCAGCCACTCAGAAGAAGAGCCAGACATGAACCCCCAGACCCGGTGGTGTGGAGATCCTGGTGGTGACCAGCAAGTAAGCGCAGCCAAAATGGCGCGGCGGCGCGACCAGAAACACGCAGAGGTCAGCTGGTGGGTATACTTTTTAGTCAGCGGCCGCGGGCGAGCGCGCCGGCGGCGTGTCAGGTCAAAGCGGGCTACGCAGAGACGAATTAGGCAAGGGAAACGCGGGAAGAACAAACAGAGCGAGGGGCGAGGCGACAAGCTGGTGGGTATACGCGAAGCGTGGATAACCCATGCCGATGCAGTTCTTTGCTCTCCGAAGAGAGGCGAGCCGCGGGCCGGCGGGCCGACCGCGCCCCGGCCGCCGGAGGCCCCGCCGCCCCCCCCGCGCCCTCGCAGCGATGTAATGTGAGTGCGCCTCCCCTCTCCGCTGAAGATGGCCGGGGGGTGGAACGGCCCCCTCCGCGCACTGGTATCTCGCACGCAGGATTTCAAGCATGGATCTTCCCTGTATTTTTGCGGTCGGAGCGGCTCCGGTGTCTCAAAGTAGTGTTCCCGCTGCAGCGTGGGCCTCATTTCGGATCGGCGCGTCGCTCCCGACGTTCAGAATGGCGCTCTCGCCCCAGCGCGTCCCACTTTTCCGGATCCGAGTCCCTTTTCTGCGTTGCCGCCCCCCTCCTTTCTCCTCCTCCGCCTTCCCCTGGTCCTCCTGCTCCTCCCGCTCATTCCACTCCACTCCAGTTCCCGTTGCTGCTGTTCGTCTTCGTCCTTCTCCTTCCTCCTCCTTCTCCTCCTCCTCCTCCTCCTCCTCCTCCTCCATGTCCTGTTCGTTACACGGCTGCCCGAGTCCGCTTGTGCATACGACCAATGGGGTCTTTTTGGGGGAGCTTCAGGCCAGCTGTGACACGCGTCCGCGGATAGAGAAAACACCATCGCCATGGCAAGGGATGGGTGCGAGGAGCGGGGTGTCAGATTCGGCGCCAGCGCGCCTGGCTTGGCCTTGCCCCCTTGCCCTCTGCCCTCGTCCCCCTGCCCTCCCCCCGCCCCGGCCACCATGCCCCCGTCCGCTGACCTCTCCCCTGCCCCGCCTGCCCCCCGCCCCCGTTGGCCCTGCCCAGCCCCTGGCCCTCCCCCTTCCGCCCTTGCGTGCGGAAGCGAGGCAGACCTCGCGTGCACAGGGAGGATCCTCCTCCTCCTCCTCCTCCTCCTCCTCCTCCTCGTCAAGGTCCCGCGTTTTTTTGTTGTGTCATTTGTAATATTCTGCTTATTCCTATCATTCGGGTACTTCTTAGAACTATTATTGTTTATCGAAGGTGGCACGACTGCTGACGGTCTCAACTGCGTATCCGTTGTGCTGGCCTGTTTCACCCTGGAACACAAACGCGGCGCCGAACCGATCCGATCCGATCCTCATCCTCTCGTGGAGACATACAGTAAGGCTCGCACTTGGACGACTCGAATTTGGCCGACGTGGCCGTCCAGCAAATGACTAGAGCTGGTATGTATTTTGGCGCGAACCCCCGCGTCAAACATCTCACGAAAACTGGACCGTCCGAGTTCCGCGAGTCCTACGTTCCCCGGCCCCCCCCCCTCCCGGCGGCGACCCCAGAAGGGGGAATGCAGAGGGGGCGGGTCTTCTCGAACGGCTCGGCAGGCCTCGGGCCTTCTGAGAAGCTGCCGGCGCCTTCTCCGAGGGCAGGGACGGCTTCACAGAAGGCCGCGAGGCTTGTGAGAAGCCACGCCGCCTTCTGAGAATGAAGGGAAACTGGGACACACAAATAAATACACACAAATACAAAGATCCCCCATATTTTCCTATATTTTCCTGGGGATCGACGATTAATTGTGTCTGTGTGTTTCTTCCCCTCCTGAGAGAAGGCCTGCCCCCTGGCGCTTCCCCTCTGGGCGCGCCGCCGATCGACGGCCGCTGGCCGCGGCGCAGCCGCGGGGGCGGGCAAGCTAGGGCGGCGGCCCCACTGTCTGCCTTGCGTTGCAGGCCAAGGGGGGGCTGGGCGGAGCGTTGGGTGTTGCTTAATGGGGGGGTCACAAATGGGGGGGTCAGAAAAGGTCCCCTTTCGTGCCCCTTTCGGGCCCCTCTGGAGCCCCAGGGGGCTCGTTTAGGTACCGTTTGGGTACCTTTTCGGACCACCCTCGCCACCCCCCCATTTATGACCCCCCCATTACGCAGCGCCCAAACGTTGCAGGCCAAGGGGGGGCCGGGCGGAGCGAGAAAAGGGGGGTGGGACCGGAGGCTTGGGGAGGGGGGAGCTTTCTGACATCGGGGTGGGGATCCGACGGAAGGCGCGGCATCAGGCGCTGCGAGCACTCCGTCCCTCACTGGAACCCCGCTGCTATGATCGAAATGGTTTCGCAATCCGCCAATCATGCTTGAGAGAAATGTCTCCCCCGGGAGAAGAAGACATGGGGAGCGCGCGATCACTGAATCACATTACGGCGCGAATGGCACAATAGCGCGAAGCAGATGACCGCCAGGCAAACTGGGATCGCTACACGAGCCGACCTGCCATAGGCAAGCACATGCGATAATCTATGGCCTGAGAGAAATGGAACGTCGATATGAATGTGAAAGGCCAGACGGGGAAAGGGATGGGGACGGGACGAGGAGGACGAGGAGGAGGAACAAGCGGGGGCAACACACACACACACACGCTCACGCATTCAAAGGAGCATGTCCGAAGCCTTGATGGTCCGTGACAAGACGATTGACCGAAGCCGCAAGACCCTGAGAGAAATCCGGTTATCGCGTTGTCGAAGACAAAACGCGCGAAAGATAAATACCTCTCGCAATGCCTTGTCTGAACTGTTGTATTCGAACATGCTGCGCCGGAGCCAGAACCGCCCCAGACACACCACCAGGGCTAGCGACGGCTGACGTCGTGACGAGCACGGCCGAAGCCAAACAATCATGCCACAGCGGTGCTGACTGACGCGCCCTTGGCGAGTGCAGGGGCGAGCGCGCGACGCGGGCCAGCGCTCGAGACACGGAGAAGGCTTCCCTCCAGCACCACAGCTACCAGCGGCGTTCCGTTGGGCCGGATGGCTGCTGAACTGTTTTGGGGGGAGAGAGACGAGGGAGAGGAGGGAGGGAAGGGGGGGGAGGGAGGGAGGGAGGGAGGGAAAGGGGGGAGGGAAGGGAGAGGAGGGAGAGAGGGGAGGGAGGGAGGGGGAGGGAGGGGGGGGGAGGGAGGAGGAGGGAGGGAGGAGGGGAGGGAGAGAGGAGGGAGAGGAGGGAGAGGAGGGAGAGGGGGGGGGAGGGAGGGGAGGGAGGGAGGGAAGGGAGAGGAGGGAGGGAAAGGGGGGAGGCAGACACGAATTCCCCCCGCGACGCCGCAGGCGCGCCGCGGCCGGGTCATCTGCGTGCGCCAGCACGGCGGCAGCCCATCTCGGACGCAAGCAGGCCATGCAGACTGGCAGAGGGAGAGGGGGGGAGGAGAGGGAGGAGTATAGGTAAGACATATGCAAAGACTGTGCTGCAGAAGCTGTCAGCGGCACTTTCATCCAGGAGCCGTCCACGTGGTGGCCTCCCTTTGGCCGACTGTAAGAAGGAGGGTCTGCGACCCGAAAGTACGGTCCGCACATGCGCATCTAGTAGAACATCGTAGCCTCCACCCAACACGTCGGACGATTCTAGCTCGCCTGGCTATTAAAATCTGCCGAGGGCAATCCCTCAGAAACGCTTCCTGTGCACAATGGTCGGGCCCGACTTGTCGTCCCCCATGAGTGACTGGAACGTGGTGTCGGGGATGCCGCTGTCTTCCTGGCCCACGAACTTAGGCTGGAAGAGCACCTCTGGGCAGCGGAAGCGCTCGCTGCCCATGGTCATGTTTTCGTCGGGGAGCTCGTACGTCTTCTCCTTGTCGGAGCTCTCAACAGCGGCCTTCATCTCTAAGTCGAAGTCGATCCGGATGTAGCAGAGTTTTTCCTTTGACGTCGCGCACGATATTTTGCCAAGCCGTGCTGGTGAAGAAGAAGAAGAAAAAGCAACGCTCTGTAAGGAATTCCACCAAGTGCTCCGTAGGGTCCCGCACTGCCAGATCCAGGCGCAAGATCGCATGCGGCAGCGCGTAGCTCTCATAGATGAGCACGGTGTGCGACATGTGTGACGCGCCATCGCCGGAACCCATGACCATCCCAGTGGTGTGGACTGAAGCGTACAGGGAGAACACTGCCTGGATCGCGACGTACATCGCCGACACGTTGAACGTCTCAACCATGATCTGCGTCATGCGCTCGCGATTCGCGTTCGAGCCCACGGACGCCTCCATGAGGAGCAGAGGGTGCTCCTCCGGAGTCGCGCGGAGCTCGTTGTTAAAGGCATGGTGCCAGATCTCCCCCAGATCGTCCCAGTTGTTTGCGATGCCGTGCTCGACGGGGTACTTCGAGGTCAAGGCGCGCGCCGCGCGTGCTCTGGGCCTCGTCGCCCATGTAACTGTCTGTCTGGTCCATGCCGACCATGATTCCGGGCATCGGAGGAAGCTGCGCTCCTGGGGCGGACCAGGAGGCAAAGTGCACCGTGCTTGCCCTGGCCATCGGCATCTACCAAGTCCACCCGGAACGCCAGCAACCGGCTCGTTGAGCCTGCAGCGCTTTGGGGAGGCCTGGAGCTGCGGAGTCAAGACCGACCCGACTGGGTGTGAAGGATGTAGCGAGAGAGAAAGAGAGAGAAAGAGAGAGAGAAATAACAAAAAGAAAAAAGACAGAGGGAGGCAGACATTGTGATACCTATATATATACATATATATATATATATATATATATATAGAGCTATATCTTTTTTTATATATATATATATAGAGAGGGAGAGAGAAACAAAAAAAGAGAGAGAAGAGAGAGAAAGAAAGATGAAGCTACCGCTCACTCACTCACACCGAATGTCCGAAACACCTAAGATTCAATAGTCCCGAAAAACGGATGGGGCCTGGACGGTGCTCGCCCGAAAGCGTTACAATTAAGGCTCCGCTCGCGTGATGCGAGCGGCTCAGCGTGGAAACGGGGAGCCCGAATCCAACTCTACCTCGAAGCGCGACCCTTTCCACGACCTCGCCCGTGACTCCGACCTCTCCCCCGCGCTGTAAGCAAGGAGCGTCGATCGCTTCGAGGCGGAGGAGGAGGAGTAGACGGCATGGAGGCAGCAGCAGAGCTCGGGGGTGGGGGGCAGTAGGAGGTTGGTGGAAGGTGGCTACTTCTCCTCTCGAGCCGACCTCGAGCAGGAGAGCAGGGCTCCTCGCGCCTGTCGCGAGCTAGCCCAAGGAAAAAAAGGCTCGGCGGGGCTCGGATAGGCGTGGGCCTCCTCATCCAGCCTCGCCCTCTCTGCGGTGCTGCTCAGGTGTCGTCGGTGCTGGGGTCTGCGCTGGCGTCGGAGTGGGCGTAGGCGGAGGTGTAGGCATGAGCGTAGGCGATGGCGTCGGTGGAGTGGTAGGTAGAGTGCAGATCCCCGTCGCGGCGTCTGTAGCTTTGAGGCGCCTGATGGACTCGCTAGTGATGGTGACGTCGTCAGCAGTCCTTTCCCCGTCAGGCTGCCTGTGGGGCGGTTCTGTTTGCCTCCTCCCGCTAGCAATTGCACGGCCCCCTGCGGGCCAACGTGCAGGAGGCGTCGCGGGAGGAGGCGGCTGTGTAGTGGGCAGTTCTGTCGCGGGGAGGTGTGCTGCCGTCCCGTCTAGATCTCGTCCATCAGCGCATCCATCCAGAGGGCCAGCTCGTCCTCCGCGAACCCCGCTGACGCTGGGCCCACGCGTGTGGCCTTGTTGGCGTTGTGGAGCGCTGTCATGATGCCCTGCCTGATCTCGTAGTCCCTGCAGTTGAAGAGGATCTTCGCCTGGCCGCCCTCGCGCGCCTTCTCGAGCTTGCAGGTCGGGAAAATGTCCTGCACTTGGTACTGGTCCATGGCGCTGATGCGCTCGATCGTAGCGTTGAGGTCGCCCTTGCCCTTCGCGCCGATGTCCTGCTGAGCCAGCGTCTCCATCGTAGCCATCGCGGCGCCTGGTGCAGGTGGGCCTCTTCCGTGTGATTCTCCTTCGCGGCGAATGGCCCGAGCGTAGTTGCGGTTCTCCTGTTCGATCGCTTCCGCCAGCGGGTCCGTGTCGTTGACCTTCACGGTCGTGATGATGCAACCCGTGAGCTCCCTGATCTGTTTCGTGTTCTGGTAGGCCGCCCGCAGGAAGGTGAGGGTCGGGTCGCGCATGTCGTTCGGGATCTTGGGGGCTACCTTCGGCTTGTGCGCTGCGCCTCTCCTGCGGCGCACCCTGGCGATAGGGGCTTTCTTGGGGTCGATCTTCTGGTCGTCGAGCTCCACGTCCTGGTCCTCGGCCTTCTTGCGAGGGTCCTGCCCGCGCCCTCGGCTCCTCGAGCGGTCGCCTGGCTTGGATCTGGCCCCGTTGGGGCCTCCACCGTCAGACCGTGGGGAAGGAATTCCCGCGGGGCGCGCCAGCTCGGTCTCTGAGGCGCAGTCGCTGCCGGCGGGGGTCCCGAGCCCGTGGACATCGTGAGCTGGAGTAGCTGCAGGGCGTGGCGGTAGTGCAAGCGTGTGTGAGCGCTCAAGGCGTCTTGAGGTAAATGACTACGGAGGTGGCCTCGGGGCCCGGTGTACTCTTCAAAGGATTCCTGGCAGATCGGGCAGGTGGGGCTCTTCGGGGCTACGAGGGGGCACGGGGCCAAGGTCTGGTCTGTCTTGCGCACGCGTGATCTCCATGCTGCTATGACATGGTGTTGTGCGCCCACTCGTGTCGGGAAGGTCGTACTACATATGATGCACTCGCTCGTGAGCGTGAGCTGAGATAGCATGCAACACATTCCACGTTCGCCTCCTAGTGCCCTTCCTCGCTGATGTGCGTAAAGTGCTCATGCGGTCTTTCAGGTACTCATACATGGGGTCCCTGCGGATGTTTTCAACTCGCATACGAACAGTTCGGCCTCGTCTGATGGGGCGAGCTCCGACAGGAGCTCGGCGGAGGCACCAGGCGGCGCGACAGTGCGCCGAAGATGGGCAGCCCTCATGATGCTCACGTCGATCCTGCAGAAGGCTTCGGCGATCTCGGGGTCCGTGAACAGCGTGATGATGCTGCCCTTCCAGTCCAGCAAGTCCAAGCGTTCGGCAGTGTCGTAGGTGAGGTCCTGGATGTCGGTGGCCATCTGTCTGGCGATCGGGTGCGCATCGGGGCTGATGTGGCCGTCTTCGGTCAGGGTGAGTGGCATGACGGAGAGGTCGCCGTCTCGCAGGAGGCGCTCGATGCGGAGCTCGCCGAACAGAGCGGAGACAAACTGCTGGGATTCTTCAGGATGCGCAGCGGCGCCTTGAAGTAGTTTCAGCCGTCGGATTTTTAGTTCGATGGAGCTCGGCACGATGTCCCATCGGCGCCATACCTCGGCCGCGGAGATCGCCTTGTGGTGCGTGTCGCGGTGGTGTTGGCAGCCCTTGCCCTGTAGCATGGCCCGCGGCTTCTTGCCCAGGCAGGTGTCGAGCTTCTTGTAGTCCGCGGCGTAGACGTAGTAGGTCTCGGCGGCGCTGATGGCGGCTGCGTAGACAACGGCTTGGAATACGAGTAAACCAGAAGTGGTGGTACTGGCACCATCCTGTGTTCGCTGCTCGTAGTCGTGCTTCGCGTTCTCCATTGAAGGATGCTTTGGCGTCGAACATGCCCCCCGCGTGGTTTGTCGAGGTCAGTCTCTTGCAGTTGACGCGGGGGTCGGTGAAGAAGGCGCGGCGAAGGGACTTCGATGGGGTGCCGTGTGCGAACTCCTCCTTGGTCTCGTTCAGGCTGAAGCCTCCCTGGCGAAGCGACTGGCGCAGCGCCTCAGGGTCGCGCTCGATGGTGGCAGTCAGGGCGTGGATCTCGTCGATGCTGGCGTCGTGTAGTTGACCTCTGGAGTCGATGGCTTGCTTGCGTAGTCCGACGCGAGGAGCGACGTGGGACTTCAGGATGTCGTCGGCGAAGACCTGGCGGCTGAGGTCCCGTACTGGCCCGTCGGGATCCCAGGTAGGATCGCACGGCTGGAGCATGATGCTTGTGTGGGTCGGTGCTGTGTCGGTTCGCTATTGCTCGAGCTGGTGGTTGTAGACCTTCATGAAGGCGTCGGGCTCGCTCGGGCATCCCATGAGGCCTCCCTCGCGGTTGCGCATGATGGGCGTGCCGTCGCTAGCATCGACGATGGTCTGGGACACCGTGCGTCGTCGTAATGCAAGCTGGCGGTCGCCATCGCGAGAGGTCGGTATGACGCGCCCGGTGATGGCGTCGTGGTGGGTGAACCCGAAGGCGTTGCGGCCGTCGTGGGGGCGAGCTGCGAAGGCGATCTTCGCCCGTCGGAGCTTGCTGGAGACCACTCGAGTGACGATCATGCCGAACTCGCGTCGTCGATGTGGGATGCCGCCGTAGGCGTAGTCGGGCGGTCGTGTCGGACATCCTCGCTCTCGTAGGTGGCGGTAGAAGCAGCGCCAGAAGACGTCGAACCAGTGGATGAGGCGTAGGCCCGCGTGTCTTAATATCATCTTGCCCTTGTCTGGCTGGAAGCTCTGCGAGGTGTTGGCCTGCATGGAAACGCGGTTGTGCTGTCGTGCATGCGCGAGGCAAGCGAGACGTAGTGATTTACGTAGTCGGCATTCTCGCGGGAGTTGGAGCTTCCTCATACAAGGGTCCTGGGAGCCGTCGCCAGCGTTCAGTGCACCTAGGCCTCCTTGCGGTCGGCCTGGGCGTCGTAGTAGTCCAGGTTGAAGTGCCATCAGCAGGATCTCGGCAGGGACCGAGTATGCGGAGGCGTACTTCCTGCTGTTAGCCTTGCCCAGAAGCTTGGTGACAGCAGCGATCTCGTCGACGGCTTCGATGATGTAGTTAAGTTGAAGTGGGGAAGTGCGTGGCGGCGTGGGTGTAGTGGCGGTGGTTGCTGGCGTCGTGGTGGTTGGCACGGGTGGGAGATGTGCAATCGGAGGCGCGTCGTCGTCGGCGTAGTCTGCTGCACCAGCATGGTGTCGGAGTCGAGCTCAGCGCAGTTCAAGAGTGGGGTGTGGGTGGTGTTTGTCGTGACTGTCGTGGTGCTGGTCGTGGGCGTGGGCGTCGGGGCGGTCCTGGATGCCGATGTCTGCGTGGGCGGAGGCGGTGGTGGAGGTCGTGGCTGTGGTACCGCGTCTTCCCGTGTCGGAAGCGCGACGGGGGCTGGAACTGCGAGAAGACCTCCTTCTGCGCCTGGTCGTTGTAGAAATTGTTGCCATTGGTCCATGCTTGGTCGCGAACTCGGGAGGATGCCGTGGAAGCGCTTGCGGGCCCGCAGCTTGTGGCGCAACATGTTCCTGTTGGCGCAGTGGCATTCGGGGAGACGTCGAGTGCGCCATGCTTGCCAGAGATCGTCGCACTGAATTGCCTGGTGCTTGTGGTTGGTGTGCTTCTGGTGGCGTCGGAGTTTCTTGCTCAAGTCGTAGATGGTGTCGTCGAGCTGGCGCAGGTGGTCCTCATTGACGTCGGGGTGGTCCTCGTGGGCGTGCAAACGTTGCCGAAGCTGGGCTCGTTCTTTGAGGAGTTGGAGTTTGTGCTCTCGAGCTTCGCGGTACCAGTCAATTCGGCGATAGGCGACGGCGAAGTGCTCCAAGGCGGCGTCGCGAAAGCACTGCATCGCGGGGTCCCAGTGGTAGGTGCCGTCCTTCTGCGCGAGGTACTCGTCCAACAGGCCGGCGTGGGTGCTGAGGTTGTGGTCCAAGCTCTCCAGGAATTCTTTCCGCTTGCGGCCCTCCTTGAGTCCCAGAGCGATGGCGTCGCGGTCCATGGTCTGGGGGGCCTTGGAGACGGAGTGGCGGCAGGCAGGCGGGGCCTCGAGCTTGATGACCAGCGGCTTGTGGTCCTTGAACTTCCTCGAGATCTGGAGTGCGTGGGCGGCGTGGTTCCACGCTCGGCGCTGCGTGGCGCGGGAGACCAAACCCGCGGGGATGTAGATGTAGTCCGTGACCGAGGGGTGGCGTCCGTCGTAGGTGGGGCCCGTGCCATAATACGTGTTCGCGACCGCCATGTACGAGTTGGCGAGCGTGTGGTGGTAGAGCTTGCCAACTTCGCCCTCCTTGCCCGTCGGGAACTGGCCGACTGTCTCGTCGCCGTCGGGGCCTGCGGCAAAGCGGTCGTTGAGGTCCATCATGACTATCGGGGTGAAGCGGGATGGCGTGTTCAAAATCTCCTGCTTGACCCATTGAGCGACCTTCGTCATGGTGTCTCGCCACTGGGGGGCTTTTTTGCGATCCCATGGGGCAGGAGGTGAGTGGGCCAGCATGGTCTTCAGCTTCGTGGCGCCCTGCTCGATGGCGATGGTGCCTGTTCTACCTGGGAGCTCTGGCGGCGCGCGGTGATGTCCTTGATGTGCTTCTCCTTGAACCTGTGGTTGAGTAGGATGATGCGCCCCGCTGAGTTGTTGATGTGCATGCTGCGTCGTCCATATCCGAAGTAGATGGCGAAGTGGCGCCCGTGCCTCTGCGCGTGATGCGGGCTGCGCGGGTGCTTCGGGATCTGCGTGCCAGGGCAGCCCACGATCTGGATCTGGCGCAGCTGCGCTGAAACCTCCTCGCCACGGGTGCCTGTCAGGCTGAAGGGGTTGAACGCCGCGAGCGACAAGAAGGCGGCTCGAGCGGCGCTCATCGCGCGCCCCAGGGAGCACGCGCGAGCGGCGCCTTCTGTGCTCGGGCAGGCATCTCAGGCCTGCGCGGCGCCTCCACCAGCCCCGCGGACACCGCTCGAGCTGAGAGGGGCTAGATGCAGCGATATATATATATAATATATATATATATATATATATATATATATATATATTATATATATACATATGTATACAAGTGGCACGTGTGTGCCCAGGCTCATACAACAAGCTGAAGGGGCGTTTGAAGCAGGAGTGACATGCAACAGCGAAGTCGCACTCGAGCGCATGTGGGGTTGCCACACCTTGCGATGTGTGTACCAGGGCCCCCCAGGAAGCCTCAGGAGGCCCGGCTTGGATACCAGAAGAGGCTCCAGGATGCCCCAGGATTGTGAGTGTTGTGTGTGTGTGTGATGTGTGCTTTGTGTGGTGCGTGCTTTTTGTGTGTTGTCGGTGTTGTGTGTGTGTGTGTGTGTGTGTGTATGTTATGTTTGTCTAGCGTGTGATGTGTTGGGCGTGATTTGTGTCTCTGTGTGCGCATGTAATTCTGAAGCCCCGGGGGGCCCCAGGAGGCCCCAGGCGGCCTCAGCAGGCCCAGGAGAACTCCAGGAGGCTCCGAGGCGGGGTCTGGGGTACCAGAACGTCCAGAAAGCCCCAGGAGGGCCCCGGGAGGTTCCAGGAGGCCCCCAGGAGGCTCCGAGGAGGGGTCCGGGGTTCGATTGTGGGAGGATTTTTCATGCGAAACCGCCATTCTCTGGGAATCGGGGTCAAAATGATTGAAATTACCATGTGTTTTTGAAGGTTTGATGTTAAAATGTTGAAATTCCCATGTGTTTTTGGACCCTGACGTCACGATCTGCGTGAGGGGTGCCGCCGATTTTCAAAATATCGAGGACGTCCCGAGCGAAACCGCGGACGACGTGCGCATTTATCGCCTCTGAGCTCTACTCCCTCGGAGAGGTGCGTATGATAATATATATATATATATACGACCACCCTACGGGTGATAAGGAGGTTGGTGGGGGTGGGGGGGGGGGGGCGAGCAATGGGCAACAGTGGTGATTGTTCTCCTGACGATGCCAGTGGCGATTTTTTCTGTCGGCGGCCTGCTGAAGCCCCTCTTGTCGCCACTGACTAAATCGCTTCAAAATATTGCTCAACGGCTGCCCTTCGGCGGTCGAGACCGATGCACCGCCATCGTAGCTCTTTTTCCCTTGCTCAAACAGCGCAAACGGCTGGAAGCCCAGCGAAAGCGTGCCTCATGCAGTCAGAGAATACCGAAGCGCTGGCAAAGCCTGGCATACACCGTATCCCCCTAATAGCACTACAGCAAAGCCCGTGCGCTGGGAAAGCCCGTGCACTGCAGCAAAGCCCGTGCCCCCTGATAGCACTACAGCAATGCCCCTGCCCTCTGGCAAAGCCCCTGCGCTGGCAAAGCCCCTGTCTCATTCGGTCTCACTACCGATCTTACAATCGATATCGCTATCGACGTCATCATCATCATCATCACCATCATCAACATCAACATCAGCATCATCGCCATCATCGACATCATCTCATCATCATCATTACCATCATCATCATAATCATCATCAACATCAGCATCGGGGCACCGACGGGGCACCGACGGGACACCGGCGGGGCACCGCGCGCCATCGGCCGCCCGGCGGAGAATCATTTGGTCCGGCCGCGCCTCAGCCACAGGAGACTTTCCTCTCGCCCGCCCGCGCAGCTTCGCCTCGCCCGCACGGCACGCACGAACGCGAAACCGAAATCGATTTCCCGGTAGGGGGGCTCTCCGTTCCATTTCGATCTCACCCCCCAACCTCCGATATATATATATATATATATAGAGAGAGAGAGAGAGAGAGAGAGAGAGAGAGAGAGAGAGAGAGAGAGAGAGAGAGAGAGAGAGAGAGAGAGAGAGAGAGAGAGAGAGAGAGAGAGAGAGAGCGAGAGACAGGGAGAGCGAGAGACAGCTAAGGATATATACATAAGAAAATATAGCGAGAGAGAGAGAGAGAGAGAGAGAGAGAGAGAGAGAGAGAGAGAGAGAAAAAAGAGAGAGATAACGACAGAGAGAGAGAGAGAGTGAGAGGGCGAGAGAGAAAGAGAGAGAGAAAGAGAGAGAGAGAGAGAGAAATGGACAGCGAGAGAGAAAGAGGTATAAAACAAAGAAAGAGAGAGAGAGAGAGAGAGAGAGAACTTGAGGGATATACAGATGCATATATATATATACACATACATCTATATATATAGAGAGATAGAGAGAGATAACAAAGAGAGAGAGAGAGAGAGAGAGAGAGAGATAGAGAAATATTATGCGAGAAGCAGAGAACAACACATAAAGAGAAAGAGAGAGAGAGAGAGAGAGACAGACAGACAGACAGACAGACAGACAGACAGACAGACAGACAGACAGTAAGAGAGAGACAGAGCGAGAGGGGGAGAGATAGAGACAGAGAAAGAGAGAGAGAGAGAGAGAGAGAGAGAGAGAGAGAAAGAGAGAGGGAGAAAGGGAGAGAGAGAGAGAGAGGAAACAAAAAGAGAGAGGAGAAACATTGAGAGAACAGAACAATACCGCGCGCAACACTTCGGACAGCAGGTCTGCGCCCCCGTGGCAGAGGCGCCGCCTTTGCGCGCGCGCCGGCGTGCGCGATGCGGAGCAGGGGGGAATGTAACGGCGCCGCATTGGGGCGTCCTCCGCGTCGGCCCAAGAAAAGAAAGCGACGGCGCAGGTGCCAGTTGTTCGCGCGGCCCGATGATAGGGGGGGGGCTGGCGCAGGTGCGCCGCGCGTCGGGCGTCGATGGAGGCTCGGCGGTTGCCGTGGAGGGGCGCCCCTGGGCCAAGCCTGCCTGCGGCGGGCCAAGCGGGCCAAGCCTGCTGGAGGCCGCTCCAGGCCTCCTGCGCTCGATGGAACCAGTCGAGCAGCGGGGCTGAATATTTCTGAGTCTGGTGGAATGAAAGCGCCGGCTCGTTGGCTCGCTGATGGAACGCGTGGATGCTTGCGGTGGGGAATGGTTTCGAAATCCCCTTAGTGCTGGCTATTCGCCGCATTAAAATGGTGCGTGAGGGCTTGCCAGCGGTCCATGCGCTGGGTGGTGCTGCGGGCAAGGTGGCCGCCATCCCTAACCTCGCGCCCGCCCCCGTCGGAAACCTGGTGGGCTACGTGGGTGGGCGGTTTGACGAAACGGGTTCGGGAAGCCCACCAGGGTCTGGCGCCTGCGGGCGGTCGTCGACTGGCCGAGAGAAGAGAGAGAGAGAGAGAGAGAGAGAGAGAGAGAGAGAGAGAGAGAGAGAGAGAGAGAGAGAGAGAGATAAAAAAAAAAAAACAAACAAGAGAAAAGATAGAGAGAGAGAGAGAGAGAGAGAGAGAGAGAGAGAGGAGAACAACAGCACGGAGAGAGAGAGAGAGAGAGAGAGAAACATCACGATACATACATACATATAGTGAGAGAGAGAGAGAGAGAGAGAGAGAGAGAGAGAGAGAGAGAGAGAGAGAGAGAGAGAGAGAGATATAGAGAGAGAGAGAGATAGAGAGAGAGAGAGAGAGCAAAACAAACAGAAAGATAGCGAAAGAGAAAGAAAATATATAGCTGCGCGCGTCGGAGTGGCCCTCGACTGCGTCGTCTTCGCCTAGACAATGGTTCTGTGGAGGGGGATCGTTAGCACCGTCGTCGTTGAGCGAGGCTCAGAGCCGGAGAGGGTCAAGGCCCCCTCTTCGTAGTCGTCCGGTGGTGGCGGGTTGTCGGAGTGGCGCGGGCCTCGTGGGCCGCCCGGCGCAGGCGGTTCTCCTTGAGCGATGATGTCCAGCCCCCCCCCGCGCGCCCATTCGCGAACGGGTTCAGCGTCGCTGTCGAGAGCTCGAACTTGGAATGCCCAGCTCTCCCGCAAGGCAGGGGGGCGCCCAATGTCGCGGGTCGTGTGCAGCGACGGCCGTGCTGTGGAGGACCGCGGCAAATTTGCGTCGCCATTTGGCGGCGTCGTCCTGGCCTTGTGAGGCGCTGCGGAGCTGCGCCCCGCTCTGGCGAGTCCGTCAGGGTGACGGTTGAAGGCTTCAGCGATAGGAGTGATGCGCCTTTCGTTGATGCCATGCTCCCTCAGATGACTGTCCACCGTCTGCACGGCAGGTTTGGCCAGAAGCATCCCGTGGATTTCCTGCCAGAGGTCCGCCGAAGGGCCCTCGCGCTGCGGCCGGTTGCCCCTGGGAAGGCCTTCGGGCCCGCCAACGACCGCCAAGTCGTCAACGGTCGCAAGCTCTGGTCGTTCAGCCGTGACCGGAAGGTGAAGCATCGCAAGCGTTTCGGCCCGCTGCGCAGACTGCGCTGGACCGCGCGCGTGGGCTGAAAGATTCAGCCGGCGATTCGGACCGCAGCGCGCGGCACAGCCCGCCCGCGCTGGCCAGAGGGGGCGCGCTCGGCGAGAGCAGGCGCCGTGCGATGCCGCGGAGACCCTTTGAGCTTCCCGGTCGTTGGCGCAATTGAAATGCGGGCCCCCCTCGTCGTCATTGACGGCGGCCTTGGGATAGGCTTCGGGGGGAAGTCCTCGGCCTCGGCCTGGCGCGCGGTGGGAGATCCCGTCGTTGTTGCTCAGCGATCATGCTTTCGAGAGCGGCCCTCTCGGCCCCCAGGCGAGGGCAATTCGGCGCAGCGTGCTCCTGCGCTTCATAATCTTGGTCGCGCCATCTGCGCGGGGCGGGTGGGCAGGCCGACGTGCCCGCCATAACTTTCCTTTGCATGGTGTGGCCACCCCCGCAGGTGTAGTTGCAGAGGAGGCCAGCTTGCCAGTCAGTGCATTCGCCTTTCCCACCGGTTCAGAGGGGCCACGTGCTGGCGAAGTAATCGAGGCCCTACTTGACGGCGGCGACGGCGCCGCGGCGGAGGGATGCTCTGGGTGAAAGAGCCCAGCTGGCTGTTGCGTCCTTGACAGGCGGGTGCCCCGCTCGTCGTGCATGGCGGCGCACTCGGGCCATGTCCATTCGAGTTGGGCAATCGTTGGCAGCGC